AAAAGTCTTGGATTTTTTAAAATTGTTTTATTTAATTTTATTAAAAAAATTAAGAATTAACAACTAATAAATTTTACATTTCTCCCTGCGATTCATAACACTCCCCTCCCGGCATTGAAATATCTCCGAAAATTCATCCAGATTTTGTAGTGTCAACATAATCCGTGCCTCAGCTGGTGCATGAGGATCTGTAATGGTATTTAGAATTTTATATTTTGGATCAACATTATCACACCATAGCTGGGCATAGCCAATAAAAAATAATTGTCGATTATCATAAGGGAAACTGCGAAATAATTCGGCAATTTTATGACGCATTCTGGTGTGTTCGGTCAACCATTTGAGATAGGCCTTATAGGCCAGACGGATACCACCATTATCGGCAATATTTTCAGCTTGTGAGGGAGGTCGTGTCAGGAGGTGGCCAGCATAAATGTATGAGGCATATTGTTCCGAAAAGCATTCTTTGAGTTGATCAAATTTTTCGGAGGATTGGAGATCCCACCATTGACGAAGGTTGCCATGTTTGTCATAGCGACGACCATCATCATCGAAACCATGCAGCAATTCATGGGATAGGACACTACCTAATTTGGCAAATACCAGGGCATTTGGTAGTCCATGTCCAGTAATGTAATAGGGTTGCAGTAGGGCCACTGGGACGGTTACCAAATTAAACATAATGGCATTTTGTGGTGAATAGGTATCGATGGGTATATCATCCATGGGTTGTAGAGGTCGGGAGAGTTTTTTGATTTCTTTATTGGCTATGAAGATTTTTAACACCTTGACATTGGCAATGAAATCGGTGTCGGTAAATGGTAACTCTTTTGCTTCTTGGCTGGAAAGTTCAGGTTTAAGGGCGGGTATTTGTAGTTCCATTTGATGAAGTTTTTCCAATGCATAGTTGCGGGTTGCTGTACTCATCCATTGGAGTCCTGCCGATTGTAACACTTCTTCAAAAGCCATTTTTAAATATTGCCAAATTTCCTTGAGTTCATTTTCAGTATGGGGGCTATTATATTTTCGATATACCATATTTTCAAAATTCGTTGGAAAATATGCTTTGATTTGCGATACGCAATAGGTTTCCTGTTCAGATTTCTCATCATGACTGCTGTATATAAATTCATAAATTAATTTATAGAAAATATAATTGGCCACAATACGCTGCGGGGTTTTGACCATAACTGATACCAGATTTTCCAAATACCGATGTTCTTCGTAGATTACTAATTTTGGTATGGAACCATAGAAGGTTGTAAGTAATTTTTTAACATCCAAATAGGGGTAATATTTAATGTGAAGTTCCTCCACAGATGTAGGTTTAAGCATCTCCGTGGGTTGTACACCCTCTTCACTTAAACCTTTTGCCAATTCAGATTCAAAATTGAAAATTTCTTTGGCGATTTGTTTGGCTTCTCGAGATTTTATATCTAAAAAATTAATTAAATTTGATGCTGTAGCTTTTATGGTAGAGTCTCGTAGCTCTTCGAAGTCCTCTGCAAAATATGAAATTTTCTCCTCCATTAGCCAATCGCCAGAGGTTAGAAATAAAACTTTCATTTTATTATCATAAAAATCAGTATTGAGTCCAAGACCCACTAATATATTTATGGCATACTTTTTCTGTATATCACTGATCACCTGCTGCCAATTGAAATGTTTTTCTGTGTTATCATCCCGAACTCCTGGCATCTCCCCAAACTCCGCAATTAGTTCTTGCATTTTTGCGTTGTACTCTACAGCAATATTCGGCAAATTCACACATGATTTATAGAAACTTTTAATTTTCTTCTCAGCTAGGGTATCGGTATAGTCGCGGCTGCCTAAAAGCTCCTTGACCTTGCCATTAAATGCCTCTTCGATTACATCAAAATAGCTAACACTAGTCCGCTCATCATCATCACCATTGATGGGATGTATTTGTGGCCAATTGCCACAGGCGAATTCATAGAAATTCTCACATGGATCCACTGACTCATTCATATAGGCCCGAATTTCTTCCAACTTGATTAGGCGTGTAATTCGAATAAATGGAAAACTTTGGGAAGATTTCATACAGCAAAATCCAATAAACCCAAGCAATAGAATATTGTGGAGGGTGGCCGAATGCAGAGGCATACTTTTATTTGTTTATATTAATAAAATAAAAATACACCGAACTAATTCTTAAACAGCTTGAAACAGAACTAAACGTTTGGTTTTTTTTTTTTGTTCTTCTTCTTGTGATGAATACATTATAAAGTTTTGTAAACGTTTTCGAAAAGTTCAAAGTTTATCAGATAACATGTGAAACGTTTTTTTCGGCTATTCACAATGCCAATATTCTGGCTTAGGTGACGTAGATTTAATGTTTTGTTTTTTTTTTATGAAATACAAATTTCATTAAACTATCAATGAATCAAGTTCTAAACATACAGAACGCAGGGTGTGGTCGATAGTCGATACCCTAGGTATAGAATGTGAATTGACAAGGGGTTTAAGGGTAGGATACAATAACAACGGTGCGAGAACAGTACCTCAAACATTATCCATATTTGGATGTTAGAAAATTACTAACAACATTTTATGCATCGATAGCAAATTTAATGATCTTTAAATCTGGTATCGGTCATGGAGAAACCCCCAACGTATTGTGGTCAATTTATATTTTCTATAAATGAATTTATATCTAGCAGCTATGATGACAAATCCGAACAGAAAACCTATCGTGTCTCACAAATCAAAACTTACTTTCCAATGACTTTTGAAGATAGGGTCCATCGGAAATATAACAGCTCCCATACTGAGGCAGATCTCAAGAAAATTTGGCAATATTTAAAAATGGCTTTCGAAAAAGTGCTACAATCCGCAGGACTCCAATGGATGAGTGCAGCAACCCGCAACTATGTCTTGGAAAAACTTCATCAAATGAAACTTAAAACACCCGCCCTTAAACCCGAACTTTCCAGCGATGAAGCAAAAAATTACCATTTACCGGCACCAATTTCGTTGACAATGTCAAGGCATGGATGACATACCAATCGATATCTATTCAGCACACAATGCCATCGTGCTCAATTTGGTACCGTCCCAGTGGCCCTACTGCAGACCTATTGCATTGCCGGTCATGGACTACCTAATGCCTTGGTATTTGCCAAATTAGGTAGTGTCCTATCCCATGAATTATTGCATGGCTTTGACGATGATCGTCGTCAATGGTGAGATCGGAGGATTGCCTCCGAAAATTTTGATCAACTCAAAGAATGCTTTTCGAACAATATGCCTCATACATTTATGCTGGTCATCCCCTCACAATGGTTGTATCCATCTGGCCTATAAGGCCTACCTTAAATGGTTGACTGAACACACCAGACTGCGTTATTAATTGCCGAATTATTTCATAGTTTCTCCTATGATAATCGACAATTATTTTTTATTGGCTATGCCCAACTGTGGTGTGATAATGTTGATCTAAAAATATAATAATTCGATGCCAATGTCAAGGAAACAATCATATTTTCCATATTGAACTTTGCAGCGAAGAAACAAAAGAGTTACAATTCTATACCGATTTCGATGCCAATGTCAAGGCATTAAAAATCTTCATAACCAAGAAAAAAATCAATAAACTCTCGCGACCGCTACAGCCCATGGATGACATAGCAATCGATACCTATTTCATACAAAATTCCCTTATGTTCAATTTGGTAACCGCCCCAGTGGCCCTACAATAGCAACCCTATTACATTACCGGTCATGGGCTACCCAATACCCTGGTATTTGCCAAATTTGGTAGAGTCCCATGAAATATTGCATGGCTTTGATGATGATGGTCGTCTTTATGTCAAATATGGCAACATTCATCAATGGTGGGATCTACAATCCTCCGAAAAATTTGATCAGCTCAAAGAATGCTTTCGTAATTTCGTACAAATCGAAAGATATATAGGGACTTTGGAGCACCAATTACCTTAAATCGGACACAAAAAAATATATGGGAGACATATCTAAATCTGGACCAATTTTCAGGAAACTTAACACACATAATTTCAGACTTAATTCAGTACGCTATGCAAAATTTCGTAGAAATCGTAATATATAGGGACTTTGGTGCACCATTTACCTTAAATCGGACGAAAAAAATATATGGGAGCCATATCTAAATCTGGACCGATTTTCAGGAAACTCAACACACATCATTCTAAACTTAATTCATTACTCTATGCCAAATTTCGTGCAAATCGGAAGATATATGGGGACTTTGGTACACCATTTACCTTAAATCTGACGAAAAACATATATGGGAGCCATATCTAAATCTGAACAGATTTCCACGAAACTTGACACACATCATTCTATACCTAATTCATTACGCTATGCGAAATTTCGTGCAGATCGAAATGTATATAGGGACTTTGGTACGCCATTTACCTTAAATCGGACGAAAATATATATGGGAGCTATATCTAAATCTGAACCGATTTTTCCCCATTTCAATAGGGTTCGTCCTTGGGCCAAATAGGTGACCTATGCCAAATTTCATCCAATTCAGAACATAAATGCGACCTGTAATTTGTTTACAATTTTACATGGACAGACAGACTGACGGACGGATGGACGGATATGCATAAATCGACTTAGAAAGTGATTCTATGCATATCCTTAAAATAAACCATGTGTCTACCTCGTTTCCTTTTGCCTGTTACAAACATGTGCACAAAGACATAATACCCTGTACCACAGTGTGGTGAAGGGTATAAAAATCAATGCCTTTGAATGGGTCTTAGAAAAACTTTTCTTTGAATTTTATTTTTTATTGTTTTTAATTTTTTTTTTTACTTTATGTCTATTCTCTATACTAAAAATAATCATCCATTTTATACATCTGCAATAGAAGAAGAAAAAATTAAAATTTTTAAAATTTCGAATTTTGTTAAATTACTAATTTTTACCTCTTCGATGTATTCCTGGATGACGGGGAGATCTTAGCTAAAATACAATTTAGTTTTTCGTTCCTAATAAATTTCACATTTATTGGAACGATTCATATTACTATCCGGTGGGCAATTAAACTCCTTAGAGAATTCCTCAAAATTCGACAATGGTCCAATGACACGATATTTCCCCGGTACATGTAAATCGGTTGAGGTTTGTAAATTTTTCACCACCGGATGGACATCATTGCACCACAATTGAGCATAACTGATAAAGAATAGCTTCTTTCCGGAATATTGAAAACGTGGCAGGGATTCAATGGGTAGCGTACCCATCGAACGAGCTTCATCTTCATACCAACGTAAATAGGCAGCATAGGCGAGGCGTACACCGCCATTATCGGCAATATTTTCCGATTGTGATTGCATTTCGGGTAATTTACGACCATTATATGTATAATGTTTATATTGATCTATGAAACATTTAGTGCGATTTTTAAAGTGCTCCGTGGAGGTGGTGTCCCACCAATTGTGACTGTTGCCGGCCTTATCGAAATTTCGTCCAGTATCATCGAAACCGTGTATTAGCTCGTGAGATATCAACGAGCCCAAGGTGGCATATTGTACAGCATTCGGATAGAGATTGGACCAGACAAAATACGGCTGTAGTAGCGAAACTGGGACTTTGATTTTATTCTCCACAATAATATTGGCCGGTGTAAAGGACAATATTTCTCCGGCCTCCAATGCTGAGGGTGGTTCCTGTAGCTTTTGCCTTGTATTTCGTACACTTAAAATCATGACAGCTTTCAGATTTTCCAAAAAGTTCTCTTTACTCAATTGAAGATCAGCCAGCTCGGCGGTGAAATTCCGTTGTTCATAGGAATTAATTTCTAATTGCATGGCTTTGAGTTTATCAATGGCATAGTTACGGGTCTTCTCACCAATCCACTGTAGTCGTTCGGAAAGTAAAGTTTGTTCGAATGTTGTCTGAATTTCGTGCCACATAAAATCAATGGCCTTGGCGGTATTATTGTTGCTATTGATCCGCCTATAGATAATGTTATCCAGATTTTTGGCAAAATACCGCTTTGTTCGGCTGATACATTTCGATTGCAGCTCCTCATGACTTCGGGGTACCTTGACCATGAAGTGTTCGAGGAAATTATAGAAAATGTAATTGGCCACGACGCGGCGTGGTGTCTCCTTCACCAATTGAATGACATTTTTCTGATAGTCCTCGGCCATTTCATAGACCTTATCGGTGGGTGTGTAACCCAATGAAATATTGATGTATCGCCTCAAATCCAAATCTTGACCATATTTTTGAACCAAATCGTCAATAGTTGTGAGTTGGGTAATATCGGTTACCTGCAGACCGGCGGTGGCATCTATCATACCCTTGGCCAAACCAATTTCAAATTCCAATAATTCCTTGGCAGTTACCTCGGCCAATTCTTGTGGCAGTTTCAAGAAGAGTTGTAGATTCTTCGACATTTTACTTTTGTAACCCTCACGATATATGGCATTACCCTCATCCAAATACATAGATTTCGATTCCAAAGGTAAACCACGATAACCAATATATAAACGATTCGTCGTGGTATCGGCATAGTCCACCATTATATCATAGCCGAGAATTATGTGTACCCCATATTTATAGGCCATTTTCCCCACCAAGGCCAACCAATCGAATTCATGGCGCTGCCATCGATCACCAACCAGTACCGGCATTTCACCAAATTCCTGGGAAATTTCTAATAATTTTTCCCGATACACATCCTTGAGTGAAGACAAATTCATGCATGAATCATAGAACACTTTCACCTTACGATCAATCTCATTGAATCCGGCCATATCATCGGAAGTTAAAACCTCGGCGATTTTACGATTAAACGATTTCAACACAGCCTCAAAAAATCCCGTTGAGGCACGTTCCAAGGTATTGGCTGGGTTATAACGATTCCATTTGCCACAGGCAAAGGCATAGAAATTATCACAAGGATCGACAGTTTCATCCATTAAATTGTGGATCTCCGCTGCCTTTGAAAGGCGTTTAATTTCCTGATTAAACAAATCTTGATCTGCGGGATGGCCAGCAGCAGTGCCCCAGGTGCATAATATTGAATACAAAATTAAAAAATAAAACACTTTCGACATTCCGAATTGGTTAGGTGTTCGGTTGGTTGGTTGATCTTGACGTTATAATTTCAATATTACAACTGAACGGAATGTCGATGTCGAATTCCTTGTGGTATTTTATTTATTTATCAACAAACGATTATTGAGCTCACACACATTTGTGTGTACATAGGGATATTTTTTGTTGTTGTATAGCGATAAGCTTATCTCACTTTCTCCATAACCGCAGGAAATATTTATTTTCTCTTCTCTCTTTCGTGCGTCTTAAGAGTAAGCAATGGTATGAACTAAACAGTGAATGCTCTTTGTGTTTTTGATTTAAAAATAATTTTCAATATCGTTGGCTGTGGCTAAATCAGGTATTTAAAAAATACGAAGTCACAACAATTGTTATCTTTTATTTATTTTGGATCAAGACACACAAAAACACGGCTTTGTTTGCATGCTGTCTAAATTTGCCAAGTGGTGTAGGTAATTTTGAAATTGTATTTGTTCTGATTTTAAAATAGTCGTGGATTAAAAAACATCTATCATCCATTCAAAAGGCGTGGATTTTTAAACATATTTTTTTCTAGCATCCAATCAATATCCCTTAAAAAATCCACACCTTTAATGGACATCGAAAAAGTATTCCTAAACAAATACACGCCTTTGATAAGCCTCACAAAAATATTCTTTAACCAGTAAGAAAAGTAGTAAAGTCGGACGGGGCCGACTATATGATACCCTTCACCACCTTGGGTATATTCAGGAGATGAATCCTAACAGACGTCGCATTTTTAAAGGACCAGTAAAATGAAATTGGATCCATAAACATGTGATTCTGCAACCTATACTAAATTTTTCATTTGGTCAGATATATATGGGAGCTATATCTAAATCTGAACCGATTTTCACTAAACTTAACACACATCATTCTAGACCTAATTCATTACGCTGTGCCAGATTTCGTGCAAATCGAAAGATATTAAGAGGCTTTAGTGCACCATTTACATTAAATCGGACGAAAATATATATGGAAGCTATATCTAAATCTGAACCGATTTTCACGAAAATTAACACACATCATTCTTGACTGTATTCAGTACGCTGTGCCAAATTTCGTGCAAATCGAAACATATATAGGGACTTTGGTACAACATTTACCTTAAATCGGACGAAAATATATATGGGAGCTATATTTGAATCTGCACCAATTTTTCGAAACTTAACAAACAGCATTTTAGACCTAATTCAGTACACTATGCTAAATTTCGTGCAAATCGAAAGATATATAGGGACTTTGGTGGAGCATTTTCATTAAATCGGACGAAAATATATATGGGAGCTATATCTGAATCTGCACCGATTTTCACGAAACTTAACATATACCATTCTAGACTGTATTCAGTACACTGTGCCAAATTTCGTGCAAATCGAAAGATATATAGGGACTTTGGTACACCATTTGGATAGACCTCGAAAAAATAGTCTTTAAAAATCCACGCCCTTGGATAGACCTGGAAAAAATAGTCTTTAAAAATCCACGCCTTTGGATAGACCTCGAAAAAATAGTCTTTAAAAATCCACGCCTTTGGATAGACCTCGAAAAAATAGTCTTTAAAAATCCACGCCTTTGGATAGACCTCGAAAAAATAGTCTTTAAAAATCCACGCCTTTGGATAGACCTCGAAAAAATAGTCTTTAAAAATCCACGCCTTTGGATAGACCTGGAAAAAATAGTCTTTAAAAATCCACGCCTTTGGATAGACCTCGAAAAAATAGTCTTTAAAAATCCACGCCTTTGGATAGACCTGGAAAAAATAGTCTTTAAAAATCCACGCCTTTGGATAGACCTGGAAAAAATAGTCTTTAAAAATCCACGCCTTTGGATAGACTTGGAAAAAATAGTCTTTAAAAATCCACGCCTTTGGATAGACCTCGAAAAAATAGTCTTTAAAAATCCACGCCTTTGGATAGACCTCGAAAAAATAGTCTTTAAAAATCCACGCCTTTGGATAGACCTCGAAAAATAGTCTTTAAAAATCCACGCCTTTGGATAGACCTCGAAAAAATAGTCTTTAAAAATCCACGCCTCGAAAAAATAGTCTTTAAAAATCCACGCCTCGAAAAAATAGTCTTTAAAAATCCACGCCTTTGGGTAGACCTTGCAAAAATAGTCTTTAAAAATCCACGCCTCGAAAAAATAGTCTTTAAAAATCCACGCCTTTGGGTAGACCTCGAAAAAATAGTCTTTAAAAATCCACGCCTTTGGGTAGACCTCGAAAAAATAGTCTTTAAAAATCCACGCCTTTGGGTAGACCTCGAAAAAATAGTCTTTAAAAATCCACGCCTCGAAAAATAGTCTTTAAAAATCCACGCCTTTGGGTAGACCTCGAAAAAATAGTCTTTAAAAATCCACGCCTTTGGGTAGACCTCGAAAAAATAGTCTTTAAAAATCCACGCCTTTGGGTAGACCTCGAAAAAATAGTCTTTAAAAATCCACGCCTTTGGGTAGACCTCGAAAAAATAGTCTTTAAAAATCCACGCCTTTGGGTAGACCTCGAAAAAATAGTCTTTAAAAATCCACGCCTCGAAAAAATAGTCTTTAAAAATCCACGCCTTTGGGTAGACCTCGAAAAAATAGTCTTTAAAAATCCACGCCTTTGGGTAGACCTCGAAAAAATAGTCTTTAAAAATCCACGCCTCGAAAAAATAGTCTTTAAAAATCCACGCCTTTGGATAGACCTCGAAAAAATAGTCTTTAAAAATCAACGCCTTTGGATAGACCTCGAAAAAATAGTCTTTAAAAATCAACGCCTTTGGATAGACCTCGAAAATCCACGCCTTTGGATAGACCTCGAAAAAATAGTCTTTAAAAATTCACGCCTTTGGATAGACCTCGAAAAAATAGTCTTTAAAAATCCACGCCTTTGGATAGACCTCGAAAAAATAGTCTTTAAAAATCCACGCCTTTGGAAAAACACGCCTTTGGATAGACCTTAAATAGTCTTTAAAAATCCACGCCTTTGGATAGACCTTAAATAGTCTTTAAAAATCCACGCCTTTGGATAGACCTCGAAAAAATAGTCGCCTCGAAAAAATAGTCTTTAAAAATCCACGCCTTTGGGTAGACCTCGAAAAAATAGTCTTTAAAAATCCACGCCTTTGGGTAGACCTCGAAAAAATAGTCTTTAAAAATCCACGCCTTTGGGTAGACCTCGAAAAAATAGTCTTTAAAAATCCACGCCTCGAAAAATAGTCTTTAAAAATCCACGCCTTTGGGTAGACCTCGAAAAAATAGTCTTTAAAAATCCACGCCTTTGGGTAGACCTCGAAAAAATAGTCTTTAAAAATCCACGCCTTTGGGTAGACCTCGAAAAAATAGTCTTTAAAAATCCACGCCTCGAAAAAATAGTCTTTAAAAATCCACGCCTTTGGGTAGACCTCGAAAAAATAGTCTTTAAAAATCCACGCCTTTGGGTAGACCTCGAAAAAATAGTCTTTAAAAATCCACGCCTCGAAAAAATAGTCTTTAAAAATCCACGCCTTTGGATAGACCTCGAAAAAATAGTCTTTAAAAATCAACGCCTTTGGATAGACCTCGAAAAAATAGTCTTTAAAAATCAACGCCTTTGGATAGACCTCGAAAATCCACGCCTTTGGATAGACCTCGAAAAAATAGTCTTTAAAAATTCACGCCTTTGGATAGACCTCGAAAAAATAGTCTTTAAAAATCCACGCCTTTGGATAGACCTCGAAAAAATAGTCTTTAAAAATCCACGCCTTTGGAAAAACACGCCTTTGGATAGACCTTAAATAGTCTTTAAAAATCCACGCCTTTGGATAGACCTTAAATAGTCTTTAAAAATCCACGCCTTTGGATAGACCTCGAAAAAATAGTCTTTAAAAATCCACGCCTTTGGATAGACCTCGAAAAAATAGTCTTTAAAAATCCACGCCTTTGGATAGACCTCGAAAAAATAATCTTTAAAAATCCACGCCTTTGGATAGACCTCGAAAAAATAGTCTTTAAAAATCCACGCCTTTGGATAGACCTCGAAAAAATAGTCTTTAAAAATTCACGCCTTTGGATAAAAATCAACGCCTCGAAAAATATAGTCTTTAAAAATCCACGCCTTTGGATAGACCTTGAAAAATAGTCTTTAAAAAATCCACGCCTTTGGAAAAACACCTTTGAAAAATAGTCTTTAAAAATTCACGCCTTTGGATAGACCTTTAAAAAATATTCTTTAAAAAATCCAGGCTTTGGATAGACCTTGAAAAAATAGCTCTTTAAAAAATCCACGCCTTTGGATAGACCTTGAAAAAATAGTCTTTAAAAATCCACGGCTTTGGATAGACCTTGAAAAAATAGTCTTTAAAAATCCACGCCTTTGGATAGACCTTGAAAAATGCTATTTAAAAAATCCACGCCTTTGGATAGACCTTGAAAAATTCTATTTAAAAAATCCACGCCTTTGGATAGACCTTGAAAAATTCTATTTAAAAAATCCACGCCTTTGGATAGACCTTGAAAAATTCTGTTTAAAAAATCCACTCCTATGGATAGACCTTGAAAAATGCTATTTAAAAAATCCACGCCTTTGGATAGACCTTGAAAAATGCTATTTAAAAAATCCACGCCTTTGGATAGACCTTGAAAAATTCTATTTAAAAAATCCACGAATTTATGAAATCCACGCCTTTGGATAGACCTTGAAAAATTCTATTTAAAAAAATCCACGCCTTTGAATAGACCTTGAAAATTTCTATTTAAAAAATCCACGCCTTTGGATAGACCTTGAAAAATTCTATTTAAAAAATCCACGCCTTATTTGGCCCTTGAAAAAGAAGTCTTTAAAAATCCACGCCTTATTTGGACCTTGAAAAAGATAGTCTTTAAAAATCCACGCCTTTTGTGGACCTTGAAAAAATAGTCTTTAAATATCCACGCCTTTTGTGGTCCTTGTAAAAATAGTCTTTAAAAATCCACGCCTTTTGTGGACCTTGAAAAACTAGTCTTTAAAAATCCACGCCTTTTGTGGACCTTGAAAAACTAGTCTTTAAAAATCCACGCCTTGGCTAGGCCTCAAAAAATAGTCTTGAAAAAATAGTCTTTAAAACATCCACGCCTCAGACATGTCTTGAAAAAATAGTCTTTAAAAAATCCACGCCTCAGACATGCCTCGGGAAATAGTCTTTAAAAATCCACGCCTCAGACATGCCTTGGGAAATAGTCTTTAAAAATCCACGCCTTTGGATAGACCTCGAAAAAATAGTCTTTAAAAATCCACGCCTTTGGATAGACCTCGAAAAAATAGTCTTTAAAAATCCACGCCTTTGGATAGACCTCGAAAAAATAGTCTTTAAAAATCCACGCCTCGAAAAAATAGTCTTTAAAAATCCACGCCTCGAAAAAATAGTCTTTAAAAATCCACGCCTCGAAAAAATAGTCTTTAAAAATCCACGCCTCGAAAAAATAGTCTTTAAAAATCCACGCCTCGAAAAAATAGTCTTTAAAAATCCACGCCTCGAAAAAATAGTCTTTAAAAATCCACGCCTCGAAAAAATAGTCTTTAAAAATCCACGCCTCGAAAAAATAGTCTTTAAAAATCCACGCCTCGAAAAAATAGTCTTTAAAAATCCACGCCTCGAAAAAATAGTCTTTAAAAATCCACGCCTCGAAAAAATAGTCTTTAAAAATCCACGCCTCGAAAAAATAGTCTTTAAAAATCCACGCCTCGAAAAAATAGTCTTTAAAAATCCACGCCTTTGGATAGACCTCGAAAAAATAGTCTTTAAAAATCAACGCCTTTGGATAGACCTCGAAAAAATAGTCTTTAAAAATCCACGCCTTTGGATAGACCTCGAAAAAATAGTCTTTAAAAATCCACGCCTTTGGATAGACCTCGAAAAAATAGTCTTTAAAAATCCACGCCTTTGGATAGACCTCGAAAAAATAGTCTTTAAAAATCCACGCCTTTGGATAGACCTCGAAAAAATAGTCTTTAAAAATCCACGCCTTTGGATAGACCTCGAAAAAATAGTCTTTAAAAATCCACGCCTTTGGATAGACCTCGAAAAAATAGTCTTTAAAAATCCACGCCTTTGGATAGACCTCGAAAAAATAGTCTTTAAAAATCCACGCCTTTGGATAGACCTCGAAAAAATAGTCTTTAAAAATCCACGCCTTTGGATAGACCTCGAAAAAATAGTCTTTAAAAATCCACGCCTTTGGGTAGACCTCGAAAAAATAGTCTTTAAAAACCACGCCTTTGGGTAGACCTCGAAAAAATAGTCTTTAAAAATCAACGCCTTTGGGTAGACCTCGAAAAAATAGTCTTTAAAAATCCACGCCTTTGGGTAGACCTCGAAAAAATAGTCTTTAAAAACCACGCCTTTGGGTAGACCTCGAAAAAATAGTCTTTAAAAATCCACGCCTTTGGGTAGACCTCGAAAAAATAGTCTTTAAAAATCCACGCCTCGAAAAAATAGTCTTTAAAAATCCACGCCTTTGGGTAGACCTCGAAAAAATAGTCTTTAAAAATCCACGCCTTTGGGTAGACCTCGAAAAAATAGTCTTTAAAAATCCACGCCTTTGGGTAGACCTCGAAAAAATAGTCTTTAAAAACCACGCCTTTGGGTAGACCTCGAAAAAATAGTCTTTAAAAATCCACGCCTTTGGGTAGACCTCGAAAAAATAGTCTTTAAAAATCCACGCCTTTGGGTAGACCTCGAAAAAATAGTCTTTAAAAATCCACGCCTTTGGGTAGACCTCGAAAAAATAGTCTTTAAAAATCCACGCCTTTGGGTAGACCTCGAAAAAATAGTCTTTAAAAATCCACGCCTCGAAAAAATAGTCTTTAAAAATCCACGCCTCGAAAAAATAGTCTTTAAAAATCCACGCCTCGAAAAAATAGTCTTTAAAAATCCACGCCTTTGGATAGACCTCGAAAAAATAGTCTTTAAAAATCCACGCCTCGAAAAAATAGTCTTTAAAAATCCACGCCTTTGGATAGACCTCGAAAAAATAGTCTTTAAAAATCCACGCCTTTGGATAGACCTCGAAAAAATAGTCTTTAAAAATCCACGCCTTTGGATAGACCTCGAAAAAATAGTCTTTAAAAATCCACGCCTTTGGATAGACCTCGAAAAAATAGTCTTTAAAAATCCACGCCTTTGGATAGACCTCGAAAAAATAGTCTTTAAAAATCCACGCCTCGAAAAAATAGTCTTTAAAAATCCACGCCTCGAAAAAATAGTCTTTAAAAATCCACGCCTTTGGGTAGACCTCGAAAAAATAGTCTTTAAAATCCACGCCTTTGGGTAGACCTCGAAAAAATAGTCTTTAAAAATCCACGCCTTTGGGTAGACCTCAAAAAAATAGTCTTTAAAAATCCACGCCTTTGGGTAGACCTCGAAAAAATAGTCTTTAAAAATCCACGCCTTTGGGTAGACCTCGAAAAAATAGTCTTTAAAAATCCACGCCTCGAAAAAATAGTCTTTAAAAATCCACGCCTCGAAAAAATAGTCTTTAAAAATCCACGCCTTTGGGTAGACCTCGAAAAAATAGTCTTTAAAAATCCACGCCTTTGGGTAGACCTCGAAAAAATAGTCTTTAAAAATCCACGCCTTTGGGTAGACCTCGAAAAAATAGTCTTTAAAAATCCACGCCTCGAAAAAATAGTCTTTAAAAATCCACGCCTCGAAAAAATAGTCTTTAAAAATCCACGCCTTTGGATAGACCTCGAAAAAATAGTCTTTAAAAATCCACGCCTTTGGATAGACCTCGAAAAAATAGTCTTTAAAAATCCACGCCTTTGGATAGACCTCGAAAAAATAGTCTTTAAAAATCCACGCCTTTGGATAGACCTCGAAAAAATAGTCTTTAAAAATCCACGCCTTTGGATAGACCTCGAAAAAATAGTCTTTAAAAATCCACGCCTTTGGATAGACCTCGAAAAAATAGTCTTTAAAAATCCACGCCTTTGGATAGACCTCGAAAAAATAGTCTTTAAAAATCCACGCCTTTGGATAGACCTCGAAAAAATAGTCTTTAAAAATCCACGCCTTTGGATAGACCTCGAAAAAATAGTCTTTAAAAATCCACGCCTTTGGATAGACCTCGAAAAAATAGTCTTTAAAAATCCACGCCTTTGGATAGACCTCGAAAAAATAGTCTTTAAAAATCCACGCCTTTGGGTAGACCTCGAAAAAATAGTCTTTAAAAATCCACGCCTCGAAAAAATAGTCTTTAAAAATCCACGCCTTTGGGTAGACCTCGAAAAAATAGTCTTTAAAAATCCACGCCTCGAAAAAATAGTCTTTAAAAATCCACGCCTTTGGGTAGACCTCGAAAAAATAGTCTTTAAAAATCCACGCCTTTGGGTAGACCTCGAAAAAATAGTCTTTAAAAATCCACGCCTTTGGGTAGACCTCGAAATAATAGTCTTTAAAAATCCACGCCTCGAAAAAATAGTCTTTAAAAATCCACGCCTCGAAAAAATAGTCTTTAAAAATCCACGCCTCGAAAAAATAGTCTTTAAAAATCCACGCCTCGAAAAAATAGTCTTTAAAAATCCACGCCTCGAAAAAATAGTCTTTAAAAATCCACGCCTCGAAAAAATAGTCTTTAAAAATCCACGCCTCGAAAAAATAGTCTTTAAAAATCCACGCCTCGAAAAAATAGTCTTTAAAAATCCACGCCTCGAAAAAATAGTCTTTAAAAATCCACGCCTCGAAAAAATAGTCTTTAAAAATCCACGCCTCGAAAAAATAGTCTTTAAAAATCCACGCCTCGAAAAAATAGTCTTTAAAAATCCACGCCTTTGGATAGACCTCGAAAAAATAGTCTTTAAAAATCCACGCCTTTGGATAGACCTCGAAAAAATAGTCTTTAAAAATCCACGCCTTTGGATAGACCCCGAAAAAATAGTCTTTAAAAATCCACGCCTTTGGATAGACCTCGAAAAAATAGTCTTTAAAAATCCACGCCTTTGGATAGACCTCGAAAAAATAGTCTTTAAAAATCCACGCCTTTGGATAGACCTCGAAAAAATAGTCTTTAAAAATCCACGCCTTTGGATAGACCTCGAAAAAATAGTCTTTAAAAATCCACGCCTTTGGATAGACCTCGAAAAAATAGTCTTTAAAAATCCACGCCTTTGGATAGACCTCGAAAAAATTGTCTTTAAAAATCCACGCGTTTGGATAGACCTCGAAAAAATAGTCTTTAAAAATCCACGCCTTTGGATAGACCTCGAAAAAATAGTCTTTAAAAATCCACGCCTGTTAATGATGACCCGTTGAAAAAATATCCTTTAAAAATCCACGCCTTTGGATAGACCTCAAAGATATTCTTTAAAAATCCACGCCTTTGGATAGACCTCAAAAAGATATTCTTTAAAAATCCACGCCTTTGATAGACCTCAAAAAATATTCTTTAAAAATCCACTCCTTTGAATGGGCACAAAAAAATGTTTTAAAAAATCATCTGTAAAAATCCAAGCCTTTCTTGTTCAATTTTTTTTTTAATTTTTTTAAAAATTAAAAACAATTCAAAAAAATTTTTCTCAACAATTCCCCATTTATTAAAAAATAAAAAAACGACAACAAAAATCCTTCATCATAACAAATTTAATAAATTATACACTTACTAACCGGATTCATATTACTACCCAGCGGGCAATTAAATTCCCTAGAAAATTCCGGAAAATTCGATAGCGGTCCAATTACACGGAATTTCCCCGGTACATGAGTATCGGTGGAGGTTTGTAAATTACGCATTGCCGGATGGATATCATTGCACCATATTTGGGCGTAGCTAATAAAGAACAACTGTTTGCCATTGTAGTTCAGACGTGGTAGGGTTTCACTTTCCATATTGTGGCGGCTACGCATGGCATTATCGTACCAATGTTGATAGGCCGCATAAGCCAAACGTACACCACTATTATCGGCTATATTTTCCGACTGTGATGCCATTTCGGGCAACAGTTTGCCATTGTAAATGTAATTCTTGTATTGATCGACAAAACATTTGGTACGATTTTTAAAAGCTTCCGTGGATTTGTCATCCCACCAATTACGACTATTGCCAAATTTATCAAAATTCCTCCCGGTATCATCAAAGCCATGAATAAGTTCATGGGATATTAGAGATCCCAGGGTACCATATTTCAATGCATTGGGATATGTATTGGACCATACATAGAATGGTTGCAGCAGGGAGACGGGGACTTTGATACGATTCTCGATTAGAATATTGGCGGGGGTGAATGATAGCAATTCTCCAGCATCCAATGGTGCGGGAGGTTCGTATAATTTCTTCCGCGAATTTTTGGCACTCAACATCATTGCCGATTTCAGATTCTCCACAAAATCATGTTTGTTCACAACGAGTTGACCAAACTCCTCACTAAAATTCGTCTTCTCATAGGAATTAATTTCAATTTTCATGGCATACAACTTCTCCACAGCATAGTTGCGGGT